ATTTTTGACGCAAAATTGACCGGGTGGAAATAAGAGAGACAGCCTCTTAATAGATATTACAGAACACAGTTTGAAACCACTGGTTTCAGCAATACATTTGTTGTCTACAACAGTACATTCAAAATCCGTTTTGGAGGAGAAGAGATGGCTGAAGAAGCAAAAAAGATGAGGACCTCAGCTAAAACACATTTTACAAGAAAGCAGAATGAATTCCTAAAGTCTACCAATGAAAACAAAGGTATTGATACTGTGAAGAGAACCTTCGCTGAACTCAATGAAGCCTGGAATACAGTTCAAGGTAAGAATGACATTTATACCACCCACACACTTAACAGAGGAAGAAGTTGAACAGAGTGCATCATGGATCACTGAACTTCATGAACTATACGATGAGGCAGCAGACATACAAGCTCAATACGTGAACAAGCAGATTCAAATTGAGAAGAAACAAAGAGAAGAAATAAATCAACAAGAAGCAATCAGCATGGAACAAGAAAGATTTCAAACTTTGATGGAGCAAATAACAAGAAAAAGAAATCAATGGAAACAATCTTTGAAACTTACAAAGCATGCACAAAGTCTAAAGGAATCACAAAGTAATGATCAAGAAAACACCAGTTTGCACAAGACTTCTAAAGAATTAGAGACTGCACTAACAAACTGCAATGAATTACATAATAAAGCACTCGAGCTAGTAGATAGTAAGCGTGCAGAATATGAGAACGAATGGATTCGTAACGTGCACACACTCTACAAAGAAGTCAGCGGAAGGATCAAATCACTTATTGCTAAGGAAACAGATCACGACAGTGTACGAAAACAGAATCCACTTCAACTAGAAAAAGTCAAGATGCCATTATTTACAGGAGAAATAAGAGATTATCCTCGATTTAAAATGGACTTTGAGAAAGTCATGTTGACAATTAACAATTAAGAGTGAATGTCTCTAAAAATCAATTAATAATAAAAAAATCGCGGACCTGGTCAAAAAATTGTTTCATCCCATTTTTTGTCTACAGGTAGCTAAAGGTACTACTTAAAGTGAAGTGAGGTTAGTTTGTGTAAATATTCATTTTAACGGAAATAACCATCACTAATTGCATGATTGAAAATGAGTGCGTGCGAGCTCTATAGTATGCAGTTTTCAGGCCGTCCTTGCATGAACCAGAATGCAACAGCAGGACTTCTCTAGCTATAAATATATACATGTGGCCTTCCATAACCAAGATAGATAATGGCGTGGGGAACACTTGAATTGAATTATTCACAGATATTAGAGTTCCTTCGAACAATGCGGGAAAAAAGGAAAGAAACATAAAATACTGACTTGTGACAAGGTTAACTACAGAATGTGTCATCAATTTGGGGTTTGTAGGGCTTTCGCCTAGGCTAGTTTTGTTCTTTTGCCACATGCAGAGCTGTTTGTTCAAGGAGGATGTGTAAGGCGAAAAAGTATAAATTAATTCTTTCTCTCAAAATATTAAAGGAATTTGTGTGTGATGTCGACAGTCTCTGGCAAAAATAAAAAATCAGTTTCAATGCAGAGCTTGGGTGCCACAGGAGGTGTGGAAGACATCACAGAAGATTTAAGTGGTCTAACCTCGGTGAGTTTCTTTAAAGTGTACATGAAGAATTTCCATCTAATATAATTAATAAAAGTGGAAAACCTTAACGCATTCTCTGAATTCTGCCTTCTCTGCCCTTTTCATACCTAGGGATTCAACAAAGGTGGGAGAAGGGCGTGTCCAGGCTAACTTGCATGCACATGCTCAAACGCCGCCATTGCCGCCCATCAACGACTAGGCAAAACCATATATGATACAAGAATTGGATAGGCGTGCCCCGCCCAGATAGCAAATCACACTCCAGGATATATCTAAATAATGAAGGTTTTAAATTAATATATGGCTTCTCCACATTCTTTTTGAAATGCTCCAAATGGAAAATAATACTGAGAAGAAACTGGATAAAGATACCAGGATAGGTTATCAGTCAATTATATTATAAGGTAAAAAATAATTAGCGACTATTAACTTCCGCCTTGCATGCAACTACGATGAAAGTGGCGTACGAGTGTGGAGAGCATTCAATGTGGGTTCTGGTAAAGTAGTACCATGGGCCAAGTTCGAAGGAGTCATGAAGCAGCCTGAAAAATTGGAACTCCTAGACTCGCCATCGCAGAATCCAAGTAGCGCACCGACGTTCAAGATTGTGAGACACCAACATATTAAGAAAAGCTCTGTCAAAGCAGATTTCTCAACTGAAAGTGAAAACCAAGATCAAAGCTGTATTGGGGAATATAAGCCAGATGACATGCTTTTCTCGTGTCCAGAAGAAGGATGTCTAAAAGCATACAGTCACTTTGCAAACCTCCAGACACACCTAGATATTGGAAAACACCAAATGATGCTCAAACAGGAAACTCTCTACCACAAAGCTAGAAGAGAATATTCCTCCAAGCTGATGGAGGGGTGCAGTCGAATACCAAGCGTTCAAGTTGTTGCACAATCAAAGAGTGACGGCTTGCCACCTGTTCCAATGGGTTGGGCCCTGAAGACAATTAAGAAAAAGGTGCGTTTTACAAAGAAACAGACTGAATTCTGAACTGACCAATTTCAAAAAGGGGAGTATAGTGGACGGAAAAGCGATCCACAGGAAGTCTCGAAAACCATGAGCCTAGCAAGAGACTAAGCTGGGGACACTGATTTCAACCTGATGAATTCCTTACGTCGCAGCAGATTAGTGGCTTCTTCAGCCGTCTTTCAGCAAAGACTAGGGACTTTAAGATATGGTACGGCTAGGCTCTAGTACGGCGGAAGATGCTGAA